GCCTCTGAGCAGGGAGGGGAGGTGAGGGCAGCCTCTGAGCAGGGAGGTAGGGAAGAGAGTGCTGTAGGTGAGTGGTGGGGTGGGGGGTGGTGCTAGAAGGTCAGTAAGATGAGATGTGGGCTAGGTCAGGTGGTTTGGTAACCAAAGCCACAAAACAGAGTTTCTTTCTTTCTCCACACCCCCCCGCCAGTCCTCCCCAGTCCTCTGAGGAATTCTGCTAGGTGTGGGCCTCTCCTCAGAGGCACTCTAAATACAAAGAACTCCACAGACCTTCCAAACTCAAAACAAGGTGCTTGTTATTGACAGCCTCCGCCAAGATGCCACCTTCCCATGGGACCCAATTGTCGGGGTATCAATCATCTCAAACACAAGATGCTGAGCCCTGACACTCTCTGTTGTCACTGCTGGAAATGGAGCGACATCTCACACTCCTCATGAGGATTAGAGGACACCATGAATTTTCCTGTGAGCTACACAAGGCCAAGCCCAGCAGCCTTGGCAGCCCCACATCTACAAAGAGCAAAGCACGCCAGGCCAGGGGGATCGTGCCCACAACAACTCCCACCAAGACCAAGGTAGACAGCACCACAGTTTGCTCTTGGGTCTCTCAAAAAATAACCCTGGGATTTCATTGCTCCTGAGCTTTGAGAGAGCTTCTAGAGGAAGAGAGAAATGATGGAAGCAGCCCTCCTAGAAAGGTACAAAGGAACAACTGCTGGAGCTGGAGCCTTGGAGGGCGGCAGGACCCAGGCACACGCTAAAGCCACATCTCGCTCTGCCCGCACCAGAAAGCAGGGGTACCTGGCTTCCATGAGGCCCTCGGTGTGTTGCTGCTTTTGTGGCTGTGAGCTTTCACTGACACTGATGTTCATGAGATCATTCCACAGTGTATCTTGTGTGCACTAAGGGCCTTGGCTGAGGCTGATACTGTTCTGTTAATTAAAAATTAAGGCTCCCTCAAGGAAAACTACTGACCCAGAAACTAAGACAAGCACAGCACGGAAAAAAATAAAGCACAATTTCTTCCTCTGCTTGTCCATTTCCTATAACTGTCTTTCCAAGTGCTTTCTGCAACCATTGTTTCCACACGAGAGCCCTGTTGGGGATTAAAAACACACACAGAAAAGGAGGAAATCAGTAATTTATGTGGAAATGCTCAAATCAATAATTGTAGGCCAGTGGTAATTGCTAAGAATTATTGCAGTCTGAAGATACAAGTGGTAAAGCCTCACTACCTAAAATGATTTTGTGAAGGAGCTTTCTACGCTACATAAGGGTGGGGAGACGGTACCATCTTGAAGTGGGAGAAAGATTGTCGGAGCACCCAGCAACTTGGAACGTGGCCCCTTGCTTCAGCTTTTCTTCCAGGGTAATTTCCTACTTACACAGAGTGAAGCTGGGGTAAACTAAACAGGCATAGTTTAGTTTATCAAGTTGGCTTGGTGGTTAGTGGTCTAGGACAAGGTAGCCACGCAGAGCAGTGAGTTAAAAAGAGAAGTCTTAGATGACAAAGGATGGGGAATTAATTCTCCCCACTGACTGGAGCACTTTCCCTGAACTTGACATTCCTTGCTGAGTTCGGTTGGCAGAAGTGGGAGCAGGTGGGTGCTGCAGACACTCCTGAAGCCCCTAGGACAGGCTTGCCCGTAAGAAAGAGGTTGGGGCCTAACTCCCAGGCTCCATCATAAACACACACACACACACACACACACACACACAGGCAGCCAGCTGTCAATCAAGTGACTTCCTGGAGAGGCCTCGCTGTCTCATCTCCGATGTGCAATAAGACCCTTGGGACTGACTAAACAAAGCTGAATTTCTGAATGAGTGAAAACTTAATGAATGTCCTTCATTTTCCACGTGGCTGGCAGTACTTGGGCAGTGATTAGACAAATCAAAATTACTCTCATCTGGTTAAATAGGAAAACAATTCTCTTTCCTGCCCCTGTGTGCAAGGAATGAGACCTCTTGAGTTGGCAAAAAGTAGGTCTCCCAGTGGAGTATTAATAGCTAAACACTGCGATGGTTGCCACCCCCCAGTGAGTGAGCCAGGGTAGCTGGGCCATCTCTCTCCTTTATGCCCTGGCAACATTTCAGGGTCTTTAATCCAACATCTGCCAGGTGCTTTGTATAGGCCAGGCACTGAACGAGGAATGAGGGTGCATACCAGGAAGGCCCTAAGTCGTGATTCTGCCACGAGGTAGGTAGTAGCCCCAAATGCATAAATGGGACTCTCCATACCAAAGGGTGGCCCAGTCGACTGCCAGGGTAGCCAGAGGCCAAGGGTAGAAGCAGCCATATTACCTGACAGACCTTGAGGTCAGAATTCTCCACCCACAAAGTCTTTGCTCATTGCTACAGAACAATGGAGAATGACTGAGATCTGAAGGACACGGGGGCGTCCTCAGCTCCTCACTGCATGTGTGGTCGTGAGCAAAATCCCTTATCCTCCCTGAGTCACAGGTTCTTCATCTATAAAAAGAGGCTGAAAAATATCCAGGGTCCCATACCAGGGCAAAGTATGGAAAACTGTTTTTAACACCGTAAGCTCTGTATAACTATAGTTTTATGATCTAGATTCATCACTTGAATAGGTCCTGTCATTCAATCCTTGTCCCCTGCCCGGACACTTTTTTTTTTTTTTTTTTTTTTTTTTTTTGGTTTTGAAACTTTAATGAGAAAAAGAAATATATCGAGCTCAAGAACACTGTGTTTCGTGTGTCACTGGGTCCAGGTTTGGGGATACACGACAGACCTAGCAAACAGAATATACATCAGCAAAAACATTCCTGGTTACAGACGGAAAAACTAGGCGCCTGGCACGATTAAGTCTCGGTTTCCTCATCACTCAGCAGCATGTTGGGGATCCCGCGACTGATGGGGAACAGACGTCCAGACTCTGGGCACTGCAGGGTGCCCTCCAGCACATCCACCTCCAGCAGCACGTGGTGCATCTGCCTCAGGAATTTCTCATCGTGCTCATACCCTTCAATCGGCCCTTTGGGCACCTCGACCAGATGCAAGGTATCCGCCGCCTCCAGAAGCGCCGCCCACTCCACCTTGGGTATCATACGCGCCACGAAGTCAGGGTTGAACTCCACGGGGCTGATGCGGACCTCGGTGGCCTGGAGGCGCAGTGGGAAGCCACGGGGCCCCACCCCCCGCACATGCGAGCTCAGCAGGTTGTGCGTTAGCAGCTTCATGTCGCCTCAGCGCGCTCTCAGAAAGCCGGAACCGGAAGACCGGACAAGCACTTTTCATAACATTTTCCACACAGATAAATACCAAGGGCAGACAGGTTGGGAGCCCCATTACGAGGGTTTTGAATAGCCCTCTTCTCACCCCTCTCTTAATCTAAATGGGGCCCATGCTTGCTTCCTCAGATAGCAAGGTAAGTACGAATACTCGGGGCACATTTTCACCTGACATAGCAGAGACCTGACCTTACAGAGTGAGTTAGTGCAGCTTCTTACATTTTTTTCATCAGTCACAAATATCTCTACCACCACCCCTCCCCACCCCCACCCCCGGCCGGCACAAAGACATAAAGTTACATGCTTTCGGCTCTTCTGGCATTTTGCTTTATTTTGCTGCTTGTATTTAGGTGCAACTTAAGATTGTCACATTGTGCGATTTGTTTTCTGTCTTCAATGGGGGGTGGTGAGCACCGCTCAAAAGAAAAGTATTTGCATTGTTTAATAACACCAGCCAGCCGTGGTGGTCTAATATGAGATCTCTCACAAACACACAACTTTAAATACCATAAATGATTTCTTAACAATCAGGCCATAATTTATACAACCCAATGAATGTTTTCCTTCCAGAAATATCTGAAGGGAAAAATTTTGATGTTGTTTTTAAAATGTTCTGAAGAGAACTCATCCAAGAAGGCTATTTTTAAGTTTGTCAGTTTGAAAGTATGTCTATTAAAATCAGTCACCTTGTTTTACTCTTCAACATCATGTACATCTCTATCTTTTGTTAATATTCAAAATATTTAGCAATTGGTACAGTCAGTGCACCCACCAATCGGAACAGACCCAGCCTGAATGCAGTGCCGGGGCATGCTGGCTGGCTCTCAGGCAGTTACGTAGATAAAAGGATTCCTATGCCTTGAGTTGGAAGGGATATTTAAACCTTAGTCCTACAGATGGAGGACAAATTCCATATTCAAGAATTCTTAATCGTAGACTACATAGTAAACTCGGATGAACTGGGGCAGGGACAAGATCATTCAGGGAACAAATGGTTCCCAGGGAGAGTTCTTGCTTTCCATCCAGAGAAAAAGCAATCCGAGGGCTTAGGATTGTTTCAGATATTCAAGATTTATTTCAGCTTATTACCCCACCCATAATGTATTTTTGCACTAATAGCTGATGGTCCTGCTTTTCATAATGTTGATACAAAGCTGACTGCTCTCTCATGGGCAGGTCTACCTAACATAAATGTTCACTAAGCAATTTAGCCAAAACCCAAGACGTGGCTTCTATTTCTCTAAGTAATCACATTGGTGTAAACATCATTTAGTGGATCTAGTGGCATTTTGTTCCAGATCACTGTTCCTCACAATTAGCCAGTCAGCTCCACACATGCTATTTTGAAAGACAAGTCTATCAAACTCTTCCTGACATTGAGCCAAGGTTCTCTTTTGCCATATCCTTCAGCCTCTTTTGCTCGGCCAAAACAATAGACTCACCTATTTGGTGTTTCATATCCCAGACGTTTCTAGGTTTTAAGAATCTATTTCCCATCTAGTACTTAGTTCTTTCATGGCCTTACTTCACATTCTTCCTTCAGGTGGTTTGTCTGGAAGTAGGAAGTTTAGGGGCTATTTCAACACAGGATGATGACCAAGATTAAAACAATAATATTACAGCCTTGGATCTAACAACATATCAAAATGTTCTTTATCCTTGTGGCCTTTCTTTGTTGTAAAGTCAACATTAAATAAAAGAGGACTTATCCACAATCCCTAGACAATCTCCTTTTATATGTATTCATGTCACTTTCAATTTTGTATCTCTGTTATTGCATTTTTTACATCCTATAATAATTATTTGTTCATCTTCCAGAATATGAGTTCCTTAAGGGTAGGGTGTGTGTCTTATTGATCTTTGCCCCCCACCCTCCATGTAACCCAGGGCCTGGCATGTCATATGAATTATAAATATGAGGGTGTATATGTGTGTGTTTAAAAGAAACTTGGGGTACCCGGATGGTACAGTTGTTTGAGTGCCCTTGTCTTGGTTTTGGCTCAGGTCATGGTCTTGGGGTTATAAGATCAAGCCCTTGCATCAGGCCCACTGCTCAGCATGGAGTCTGCTGAGGTTTCTCTCTTCCTCTCCCTCTGCCCCGAACCCCTGCATGCTCTCTGTCTCATTCTCTCTCCCTCTCTCAAATAAATAAATCTGAAAGAAAGAAAGAAAGAAAGAAAGAAAGAAAGAAAGAAAGAAAGAAAGAAAGAAAGAAAGAAAGAAAGAAAGAAAGAAAGAGAAAGAAAGAAAGAAAGAAAGGAAGAAAGAAAGAAAGGAAGAAAGAAAGAAAGAAAGAAAAAAAACTC